ATTTATTAGGGATCGGGAGAATAACGGGGTAATAAATTGCTCGGATTTAGTTTATCCATCGGGAGAAAAGGTTCCGGTACATTCACGAATGTTTACGGATATTGAACTAGGGAACTTTTCTTTGAATGCCGGTATATGTTATGGAGATGGAGGGTGATTGTTTGTTAGGAATCGATTTCCTGGCAAAAACGGATGCGGAATTCGGTATTCGGACAGCTTTAGGAATTCCTCAGCCAAAAGAAGAAATTGTTACTTGTGCACGAATTAGGTTGGACGAAACACCAGAAGAGATGAAATCTTTCTTTTCGCGACATTCTGAAGAATTAGATGATTCTCAGAAGGAAGATTTAGCTGAATTTATTTCAGAGTACAGGGACATTTTCGGAAACGGCCACAGCTGGGAATTGTGATGTGGTTAGACACGGGATTAAGTTATTAGACAACCGGCCGATTAAACAAAATCCTCGACGGGTTCCGTTGAAAATGCGGGCCGAAGCTGAGAAACTTATTGAGGAAATGCGGGAGAAAGGAGTGTTCGAGAAGTCGAAAAGTCCGTAGCTGTCACCTGTAGTTTTGGCAAAGAAAAAAAATGGAACTTACAGGTTCTGTGTGGATTTTCGGAGTCTTAGCGCAGTGACTGTAAAACATTCCTATCTATTATCCAGGATGGATGATTTATTGGATCAGTTAGCTGGAAATGTGTGGTTTTCAACAATTGATTTGAAGAATGGGTACTGGCAGGTAAAGCTTCGTGAAGAAGATAAGGAGAAGACAGCTTTTTCTTTGGGAAAGGGACTGTGGCAATTTACAGTAATGCCATTTGGATTATGTAATGCTCCGGCGACCTTTGAGTGATGGAGGAAATTTTGCATGGGCACTTATTTAAAATTCGTCTTGTTTATTTGGACGATATGATCGTTTTCAGGAGCGTTCCAGATGCGCACAGAATATAACGGACACAGCAGGTTGAATGAATCAGACACAGTGACAAACGGACACAGTAAGAAACGGACATAGTGACAACCGGACAAAATAGCAAATGGATACAGTAGGAAACGGACACATGGTGGTTGCAAACGGACACAGTGACAATCGGACACAGTAGGAAACGGACACACGGTGGTTGCAATCGGATACAGTGAGAAACGGACACAGTAAGGAACGGACACAGTGAGAATCGGACACAGTAAAAAAAGGACACAGTATCAAACGGGCACAGTAGGAAACGGACACACCGTGGTTGCAATCGGACACAGTAAGAAACGGACACAGTGACATTCGGATACAGTAACAAACGGACATAGTAGGAAACGGACACACGGTGGTTGAAATCGGACACAGTGAGAATCGGACACAGTAAAAAATGGACACAGTATCAAACGGACACAGTAGGAAACGGACACACCGTGGTTGCAATCGGACGCAGTAAGAAACGGACACAGTGACATTCGGATGCAGTAACAAACGGACATAGTAGGGAACGGACACACGGTGGTTGAAATCGGACACAGTGAGAAACGGACATAGTAAGAAACGGACACAGTGACAATCGGACACAGTAATAATCGGACATAGTAGGAAACGGACACACTGTGGTTGCAATCGGACACAGTGAGAAACGGACACAGTGAGAAACGGACACAGTAAGAAACGGACACAGTGACAATCGGACACAGTAACAAACGGACACAGTAGGAAACAGACACACGGTAGTTGCAATCGGACACAGTGAGAAACGGACACAGTGAAAATCGGACATAGAAAAATGGACACAACATGAAACGGACGCAGCAGAAAACGGACACACTGTGGTTGCAATCGGAGACAGTAAGAAACGGACACAATAGAAAACGGACACAGTAGGAAACTGACACAATAGGAAACGGGGTGCAAAAAAAGTGAAGAAAAAGTAAAATCTGATCGTACGTGCATTATTTATGTGTATTATTGCCGAATCGACTCATCTTTTCATACTGTGCGGTCACTTGTGCACTTGTGCAGATTGTTCTAGTTAAATCATGCAAGATAGTGATGATGTTAAAACTTGTTCAATTTGCAAAGCACAAATTTCATCGGTGTACAAAATATATATGCCATAAACATGTCTTACTTTTATTTGAAGTGTATAAAAATATTTAGAATTGTCAGCATCTTTTTAAATACATATTCTTTATGACGTTTATTGCACACATATTTTAAGACAGTCGATTTGTTGCCAATATAACAGTATTATATATGTTAAGCATTACATACTGAAATGTGTTGTAGACTAAGGCTGTATGCAAGATTAGGTTGAAAGTATTTACTGCTAATTTCTCACAATACTTTAAGGTGAATTATATAAAAATTACTTATATGCTAATATTCAAAGTTACACAGTCTGTCCCAGATCCAATGAGACTGGTCTAAAAAAAATACAAAGCGTTTATTATTTTGATTTTTTATTCTTGTTTAATTATTCAAAATAGTCTCCTTCTGAGTCAATATAGCGCTGGAAACGTTCAACAAATTTTTCGAAACATTTTTTATACTCATCGGCTGGAATGGCCTTTAGTATGGCGGTCGAAGTTTTTTGGATGACCGGGATGGTATCGAAACGATTTCCTTTCATCGCCAATTTCAGTTTGGGAAATAGCCAGAAGTCGCACGGAGTCAAATCAGGTGAATACGGTGGATGATCGATAACAATGATGCCTTTTTTGGTCAAGAATTCACGTACCATGATGGCTTTGTGCGATGGTGCATTATCGTGCAACCTTCCGTTTGCCCAAATCTTCGGTCAAAATTCGATAGACTGTGCTTTTCGGTATCCCAGTTTCCTCTTCGATAAGTCTCGCAGACATACAGCGGTCGCTTTGAAGAATTTCTTTGATTTTTTCGATGTTTTCTTCATTGCGAGTGGTTTTTGGCGGCGGTGCTCGGTCATCGTCTGCAAGGTGCTCACGACCGTCACGGAATCGGCCAAACCAACGGAAAACCTGTACACGGGACATGCATTCATCCCCGTACACATTCTTTAGCGTTTCGTACATTTCTGCACCACTTTTACCCAATTTAAAACATGTTTCATGTTGGTCTTTCGACCGACGTACTCAAAGTGACTTTACATAAAATGTCAAACCACAGTGAAATATCAACCGAATTCGCTCAAATTTTGAGGTTAAGTAGATGAAGGGTAGAACATTCATCTACCATCATTCACTCATAGATATCGCTGCGTTAAGAACTTTGATGGAACCAGTCTCATCATATCTGGGACAGACTGTGTATTTTCTTTAATAATATGTATTATAAACATTTCCGAAACAATGTGTGTTACATAATTACATAACAATTACATAACAAGCCAACAAAAGAACAGTAAGAAGCGCGCATACTAAAATATAACGTATATCTTAAAATATATATGGTTACTTTTATCTGCAACGACTTCAAGGTTGACGTGCTTTCCGTTTTCGTGTAATCTGGAACACTATGTAAATGTTTCAATGTGTAAATATTATATCTGTCGATAATGAGTAACGTTTCAACGTATACTTACTTTTGATGGAATAGTGTTTTCAATAAACGCTAATGGTTGCTGACTATTCTTAATATATTTTTCGCAGTCTTGACGCGTGAGCTTTATTAGAGAAATCCTAAGATCTGGGACAGACTGTGTAACTTTGAATATTAGCATATAAGTAATTTTTATATAATTTACCTTAAAGTATTGTGAGAAATTAGCAGTAAATACTTTCAACCTAATCTTGTATACAGCCTTAGTCTACAACACATTTCAGTATGTAATGCTTAACATATATAATACTGTTATATTGGCAACAAATCGACTGTCTTAAAATATGTGTGCGATAAACGCCATAAAGAATATGTATTTAAAAAGATGCTGACAATTCTAAATATTTTTATACACTTCAAATAAAAGTAAGACATATTTATGGCATATATATTTTGTATACCGATGAAATTTGTGCTTTGCAAATTGAACAAGTTTTAACATCATCACTATCTTGCATGATTTAACTAGAACAATCTGCACAAGTGCAGAAGTGACCGCACAGTATGAAAAAATGAGTCGATTCAGCAATAATACACATAAATAATGCACGTATGATCAGACTTTTTCTTCACTTTTTTCGCACCGTTTCCTATTGTGTCCGTTCCCTACTGTGTCCGTTTTCTATTGTGTCCGTTTGTTATTGTGTCCGATTGTCATTGTGTCCGTTTCTTCCTGTATCCGTTTCTCACTGTGTCTGATTGCAACCACCGTGTGTCCGTTTCCTACTGTGTCCGTTTCCTACTGTGTCCATTTGATACTGTGTCCATTTTTACTGTGTCCGATTCTCACTGTGTCCGTTTCTTACTGTGTCCGTTTCTCACTGTCAAGGAGGTGACGCAACCTGTTTCATCGATTTCAACACGAGTCATAGCACACTCGATAGCTATGATGTCGTGTATAAACGCCCTAACATAATATGCGTGAATGCGTCTTTGTTTACGAGTAATTTGCGGTTAAAGTTTGGCTCGCGGAGCCGTGCCACACATAGGGCGCAAGTTACGACACTCTTTCACGAAGCCGGCGTCGCTGAGCAGACAGAGGCTCCCGCGCCGCGAACACTTTTGCGCCGACGACGGCGTTCGAGTCCCGCCGACGACTGGTTCGTTTTTTTTTCGTATGTAAAGACATGTAATAAATATTTTTATATTGTTCTTATGTATAATTCCTTTTGTTGTTTCTACGCTATTAATCAAGGCTAATTAGGAGAGTCAGGTCTTTCAAATATGAACAACTTTTTTATTAATTACAATAAAATGTTTTTGTCCGTATCAAAACACATACACACACACACATAAGACAAATATAAGGCGCACAAATGAAAGTTACGTATTATAAAATGTAGTCATGCTGTCGCAACTCTGCGGATGGAATGCCGTATAAAAGCATGTAAAACATAATAGTTTTTTGCACCAACTGCACGTAATGAACGCATAATTTTTTGCACAAATACACTTTTGACTATGTATAGTTGGTGGAAAACATATTTGATTGACGTTGTAAAATACCTCGCGACTGTCAACAAGACTGGACGGAAATTGTATCAGGACATCTGCAAATATGAATTCAATATAATTGATATTGTATACAACGCCAATAACAATACGTACAAATATATCTTTCCATTGCTCACACATTCAATATATTTACCTCGAAGATATTCTATTGCGTCCGTCAACTCTTCTTTCGTAATATCACATTTTGCTAGATTTTGCACATAGCTGATCGTTGCTTCATCTACAAACGTGGTTTCCGTTTTTAACACGAGTTTTTCACTGTTCACGTTACGAAGACTGCCCAGAGAATGAAGCGAGCACGTCACAAAACATGAGTATCCCTCTGCAAGAAGGGGAAAGGGAAGAGGGTTCCTTTTCACTTGTAACGGTTCTAACGGCTCTCGGGTTTCTCTCATACAAAATAATCACTGTCTGGCCACTTCTTTCCCATACCATACGAAATATTTATGCAAAATAGATTTACACGAAAAAACATTTTATTGTAATTAATAAAATAGTTGTGTTCATATTTGAAAGACCTGACTCTCCTAATTAGCTTTGATTAATAGCGTAGAAACAAAAAAAGGAATTATACATAAGAACAATATAAAAATATTTATTACATGTCTTTACATACGAAAAAAAAACGAACCACTCGTCGGCGGGACTCGAACGCCGTCGTCGGCGCAAAAGTGTTCGCGGCGCGGGAGCCTCTGTCTGCTCAGCCACGCCGGCTTCGTGAAAGAGTGTCGTAACTTGTGCCCTATGTATGGCACGGCTCCGCGAGCCAAACTTTAACTGCAAATTACTCGTAAACAAAGACGCATTCACGCATATTATGTTAGGGCGTTTATACACGACATCATAGCTATCGTGTGTGCTATGACTCGTGTTGAAATCGATAAAATAGGTTGCGTCATCTCCTTGTGTATCCGATTGCAACCATCGTGTGTCCGTTTCCTACTGTGTCCGATTGTCACTGTGTCCGATTGCAACCAACATGTGTCTGTTTCCTACTGTGTCCGTTTATTACTGTGTCCGGTTGTCACTGTGTCCGTTTCTTACTGTGTCCTTTTCTTACTGTGTCCGTTTGTCACTGTGTCTGATTCATTCAACCTGCTGTGTCCGTTTTATTCTGTGCGCATCTGGGACTTACTCATCGTTTTCAGTTCGACATTTCAGGGAATGATGGAAAATCTCCGTGTGGTATTTTCAAGATTACGAAAGGTTAATTTGAAAATTAATCCCAAAAAGTGTATTCTGTTTACTAGAAGTATGATCTTCTTAAGTCATATTATTTCTGAAAAGGGAGTAATGACGGATCTTCAGAAGATCTCTGCAGTAGCGGAATGGCCTGTTCGCAAGACCAAGAAACAAGTCCGAAGTTTTCTTGGTTCTTGTTCTTATTATCGAAGATTTGTTAAGGGATTTTCATTGATTGCGAAGCCCTTATTCATTTTAACGAAGAACTTAACTAAATTTTTATGGACAGAGCAGTGTCATCAAGCTTTTGAAAATCTTAAACGAGCGTTAACTACCCCTCCTATTCTTTCTTTTCCTTTGGAGAATATGGAATTTATTCTTGATACCGATGCTTCGGGCCATGGAATCGGTGCTGTTTTATCACAAGCTCACCATGGAACTGAAAAAGTGATAGCTTACTTTAGTCGTGTATTAAATAAAGTGGAGCGAAATTATTGTGTAACGCGTCGAGAATTATTAGCTATTGTTGATTCTTTGAAATTTTTTAATCATTATCTTTATGGACAAAAGTTTATTATCCGAACAGATCATCAATCCCTGAAATGGTTGTTGTTGTTTAGGAACTTGGAGGGACAACTTGCTCGATGGATTGAAAGGATACAGCAATACGATTTTAAAATCGAATATCGCAAGAGAAGTGCGAACAAGAATGCCGATGGACTTTCTCGTCGACCCTGTGAGAAAAATCCCTGCGGTCATTGTTCGAGGGTGGAATCAAAAGAGATTAAGAACAAAGAAGTATTTGGTCGAATAATTTTTGAAAAAAATCATTCCATCGATTGGAGGAGGGAACAACTGGAAGATTCTTCTGTTTCTGTTATGCTACTGGGAAAAGAGCAGCAGCAGCGACCGCTTTGGCATACCGTTTCTTTAAAGGATATTTCTGGGAAAATTTATTGGTCATATTGGGATTTGTTAATTTTAAAGGATGGTGTTCTTTTTAAGAAATGGGAGAGTCCTAATTTAAAGACGCATACTCTTCAGGTTATTGTTCCTCGGAATCGAATTAGGAAAATTCTTGAGGAGGCTCACGATTCTCCTTCCAGTGGGCATTTTGGGGTCAACAAGACTTTAGATAGGATTCGGAAGAGATTTTATTGGGCGACTTGTAAGAGGGATGTTGAAAATTGGTGCAGATCATGCAAGATTTGTGTTGCAAAGAAGGGTCCTGCTGACAAGGGAAAGTCTCTTTTACAAATTTATAATGTTGGATTACCAATGGAGAGAATCCAAATGGATATTTTAGGACCTCTTCCTACTACTTTTTCTGGAAATAAGTACTTGTTGGTAATAGTGGATTGCTTTTCCAAATGGGTTGAAGCTTTTCCCGTGAAAAGTATAAGAGCTTCTACTGTGGCAAATGTTTTTGTGAAGCAATTTATTTCCAGGCATGGAGTTCCCTTGGAGCTTCATACGGATCAAGGTAGAAGTTTTGAGTCACAATTGTTTCAGGAGATATCAGGATTATTAGGAATAAAGAAAACACGTACTTTTGCGTTACATCCGCAATCGGATGGCCAAGTGGAACGTCAACATTTCACCATTGTGAATTATTTATCCAAGTTCATTTCAGGAAATCAGAAGGATTGGGATCATTAGGTACCGATGTTTCTTCATGTGTTACGTCCACGTAACTTTAAACAATATTTCTAAATTCAATCATAAAATCAATTCAACAATAACGTTTAGACCAGATATTTAGGCCACTTGATCCTCGGTCTAGACGTAATAAATACGACACCGAATGCTTCTTCATCGTAGAAGATTAAAAGAACAATGGGTAGATAATAAATACCATAACCACGATTATTGATTATTACTCTTATATCATGGAAAACATCCTTCCCCTACTACTAATAAGGTGGTAAGAACTCGCGCGGGGGTATCTCACCACCTGCCTATAAAAAGCGACGCGCAGACCAGTAATCATCATGATTGATTCGATTATCGTTCATTCATTCAGAAAGATTCATTCCATACCATTCATTCACTTACGCATTCTTGTATTTCACGACTCAAACACACAGAGAAAACATTCTTAACACTCTGATCTATTGACTCTCAATTGTAAAAGGTAAAAATTAAAGATTCGATACTTAAATATTCGTCTCCTCAGATTAAATCCTAAAGATCCTTCTTCGTTCCGAGTTAAAACATAATTCACACAAACCAGTCAGTCCCGGGGTAAATTAGTTAAATCTATTGACCTCAAAAAGGACTAACATACATATATTCACGTTTCACGTCGTGACACTTGCGTATCGATCTTCGAAACATGAGTCAACAAAAATGTCACCGGCAGAATTACATTTTGGTCGGGAACTCAAATTGCCACTGGATTTGCTACGAGAGATTCCTCCTTCTAGGACGAAGATGTTGAACAATTATTGCTGTCAACTTCAAGAATTGGATTCAATTCATGAGATTGCTAGGCAAAATTTACTTCAGAAATCAATGTCTTCTAAAATTCGCTATAATCGAAACGCTAGGAGATGTAATTTTGTTGAGGGGAGTAGGGTTTAGTTTTATAATCCTCGTCATAGAGTAGGGAGGGCGCCAAAGTTACAGTCCCATTGGGAGGGACCTTTTGTAATCGTAAAGAAATTAAGCGATGTGGTTTATTGTATTCAAAAGTCAAAGAAACATAAGAAAAAAATAGATCATTCCGATAGGTTAGCTTCTTTTTATGAACGAATGATTTAACGTCTTGGATTAAGTCTGAGCCCAATATCAAATATGAAGACATTTGTTAGGAAAATGAAGATTCATTCATTTTTTTTTGCGTTTCAGAAACGTCGTTTTTCATTACAAATTCCCAGAAAAGTTGTTCAGCTTGTTGAAGAATGTCCATCTACGACGGAATAAGAAGGCTGCCTCCCCCACGGTTTTTGACCGTGGTTTTTTTCCGTGGGGCTTTGGGCGAATGCCGAGGCAGAGACTCGGGGTTCTTCAAAAGAACATTGGGTCCACGGTAGTTTCCCCCCCCCTTGTCCGAAGAGAAGCCAAGGTGGAAGCGGACAAAAGAAGCGGAACAACAAGCGGATTGTTTTAAAAAGGTCCTGGAGACTGATCACCTCCTAAAGGCCAGGGATAGAGACAGTGAAGGCGAAAAGTCAAGATCTTCAGAACCCTTGATTGAGATCAAGAATTCATGGAGTCCGGTAACCTGTAGCAGCAGCTCAGGGTAGGACAGGAGCCATGAAGATCTCTGGAATCGAGGAAGAAAATAACCTTGCCTAGATGAATTGTCGGGACGACAATTCTTTGAAGAAGGGGAGCAGTGTTGTGTCCGAGCCACAAGGTTTGTGGCGGCGTCCGTTATCCGCGAGCCTTAGGCATTTGATGCTGATTTTGACAACAAAACGAGGATTGTCCTGACGACGGAAAATCGATAAGAAGAAAATAACAACAACAGCTGACTGAGAGTCTCTGGCAAGCTGTCATCGTAGACAGACGAGAGAATTATTCAGAATTATTAATTAGAGAATTATTCTTGTTTGAAGTTTGAGAAAGTTGCGCTGTATATAGTAAAGCTTGATATTCTTACGCGAATGTTCTTCATTTACTCGTGTGCAAGCGCGAGTGCGAGAGTGAGCGCAACAATATTTTTCTATTCCAATATGCATAATAATATTGTTTTAAGGTTACTATTATATAAATATTTCTTGCACACTTTTCCGAAAATATTCATTCTCTGTCTTTACATATCAGTTTTCCCAAATGGAAATTTTGATCATCAAAATATATTTATTGAAGGTTATAAAAAAAGCTTCGTATTACTTCGTCCTATGCCTTACATTTTTCGAAAATATATACCCAAGACTATGCGAATGTGTCGAGACCAGGTGTCTCTAGGTGTCCTTTTGTAATATATATCTCTTTGAAAATACTCATATATAACGAAATAATATCAGATATGTTTGTTCAAAGCATTTGTTCAAAGAAGTACTTAAGAAATGAAAATAATGAAAATTACGTTTCTTTTTATTTGAGAAATACATGCTTTTACGTGAAAAATAAACAATTCTATCGTATTATTTAAATTAATTATAACATATCTGTCTCTC